ACATCCACACGCTTGTGGACGCTCCAAAACGTTCATCAGATGGCCATCTGATGAACAAGCGGCAGGCATCGTTGCTGTTCGATGTTGCCAGTTTACCCGTGGTTCGTACCTTCTGAGCCACGGTATTCCAAGGATGACATCAAATTTGTCATCCAAATCCAAATCGATAAAGTCATCGTCATATTGGGTATCTACTAGCGTATAGTGGATCTTCACTATACGCTTCATGTCGGTTACGGATGCGCCTGTCGCAAGACGTACCGTCATCCTCGTAGGGTGTGTGTCACATTCACTGAACTTAAAGTGACCATCTTCTAGCTGTTGGCGTCGCACAAAATTGTTGGACGCCCCACAATCGACTAGAGCTCGAAGGGACAACTTATTTGTCACTTCGAGTTTCAAGGTAATGAGTGAGACCTCATTACCTAGAGCAGCAACGCACAACGTCTGTGTGTTGGGAGCAACCTTCATCAAGAGGCCTACAAATTCTCTTGACGTTGCTGGATCAGTAGGGTGCTCCGCACCTACTGATCCTGTCCGTTTTTTGACGGTCCATCCCGTTGTTGCGTCTTTGCACCAACAGCGGACCCGCGTCCCTGCCCCTTTCTCATGGGTGGACGGTCACTACGCCCAGTGTCGCGAGACACTGGACGAGGGGCACTACACTCGTAAGCGTAGTGTCCAGTCTTTTGACATCTGTTGCATCTCTGCAACTTCTTGTAGCCTGTAGAGCGAGCCTTCTCGCACTCTACATAACAGAGTTCCATCGGCTCTGGACCTCCGTTGTCATATCGTCTCGGTTGACGATATGATGTCGAGCTGGCGCGAGCCTGTCTCAGACTGAAGTCTTCCTGCTCCGCAATGGAAATGGCTTGTTCTAGTGAATCTAGTTCAAGCCGGAACAGGTGAGTCTTGACGGGACCATCCGCAAGACCCTGCATGAACACCAAAACCAACGTGTGTTCATCCACCGGATTGGAACTTATACAACTCGTGAGATGTCGTATATGTTGAGCGTAAGCGTGCACATCACGCTTACCCTGCTTGAGCTTCAAGAGTTCGGTTCGAGCCCTGAACTCAGCTCTAGGCGGTTCAAACGTTTGTCTGAGCCGCGACTTGAAGACTTCCAACGACCCAAACGCATATGGGTCGTGCAACTTGAGCCCCAGTGCCCAAGTCTTGGCACGTCCTGCCAGATTTGACTGGGCAAATGCAACTTGCATATCCCCGTCGTCGATGCGACGCGCCCTTATGGCGTCATCCAATTCGACGAACCATCTCAAGAGGGAGTCTTCTTCGACCCCCCTATACTTGGAGATGTCAATCTTCAAGGTTTCGGGTCGACGCGAGTGCATCGACCCACCAGCAGCGGCCTACTGCTGTCTCAACAGTTCAAACTGTTGAGCACCCTGTTCTCTCAACAACTCTGCTTGTTGAGAACCTTGTTGGTGAAGCAAGGCTACTTTCTCGCGTTCAGCGTCAAGTTCATTTTGAATAAACTTGGCGATAGTAGCATGTTGGGCATCTCTATTGAGAGCGTCTAGCATGACGCTAACAGCATGGATGCCCATGGCTGAACCCATTCGTTCAACCGCATCCCATTCGACATCGCTCAAATGGGAGTAGCCGTCACGCGTAGCGTGAAAGCTTTGGTCATCTTCATCATCCAACATATTCATGTTAGATGTGAACGTGGTCCTTGGACGGACTACAAAGTGCTACCAGGTGTGACGGGGCACCCTGAAGCTTGTACTGTCACCAGTACAAGCTACTTATTCTGATGACAGAATAAGGCGGTGCCTCGTAACTTCACGTACACTCGTACGTGCAGAGGAAGACGGTGAGAAGAAGCGAGTACTTGGTTAAAGTAAAAAGTAGAACAGTATTTAGTATAGTTAATGTCTGCAATAAATCACTATTTATCTTCATCTAACTATGTCTAAATACAAATGTGTAAATCAGTTATCTGCTCACCACTCATTGCGTGCGTCTGTCGTGGCGCGTCTTCGTTGGTTGATATAATGGCCTATATCAACCAATTAGGAACTACTTGTAAGTGCTACAGAATATTTGTCCTTATGACAATATTCTGAGAATATAACTCTTATAGTTATATTCTATTAACAATTTCTTATAAATTGTTATGTAACGATTCACCCCGTTACACCTGATCGCCCGGCTCTTTAGAGGTATTTGTCGCTTGGGATTGTTGCCCGAAGGCGCAAGTTGGGAAGTGGTATGGTGTGAAGTAGTACTTAGTGTCGTCGCTGACTTCATGCGCACTTACGGGGCCAGCTCTGAGACGAACAGTGCTATCGCTGATGCTTTGACAACAGCTTTGTCCACTCCAGCGGTTCCAACGCCAAGGAAGAAGACACGTTTTATAAAGAAAGCGAGACTTGCTCGATCAAAAGCCCACAACAATGCACTTTCTGCCGGCTCTTGGCACGCGTGATTAGGCTCAGCTGCAAGTCACCCATGCTGGTCACCGCCACTATGAGACAAACCGGCTTGAGTCACTACTGAAGTAAAGTAAAGAGGAAGCCGCAGGTAAAAGAGACGCAGATCAAAGAGTGGGATGATCGTGGCTCAGAAAAGGGATCAGCTTCTGACCAAAGTCTCTACTACTGGCACGACCGGTCACTACGAAACTCGCCCGCCAGCCTCACAAGCAGCCACCCGACCCCGTTTCAACATGCGCATCTACACCACGGAGCTCCTTGCCGCGGTCGCGTTCATCGAAAGTCTCTCAAGATACTCTGCCTCAGGTTCGAAGACGCTGCGGCCGGATCTCCATTCCAGTGATCGTCCCAAAGACCGGGTGGGCGACGCCAGCGACGACGGCATGTCACAAAGCGACGACGAAGCAAATGGCGAAGACAGGACAGGGACTCGGGATGTGCACAGTCTCCTTGCGTTGTTTGGACGAGCGCAAAAGCGGACATACGACCATGAAATCCCCGACTTTGATGCTCAAGGTTGGGATCGATTCGTACTTGGAACAGCGGAAGATCAGGTACACGACCAAATTATCCCCACGCTTGCTGCTGAAGATTGGGATCAACTCAGACACGCACATTATGCACCAGAACGTCTCGAGTCGAGCGGAACCGTGGCGACACCGGTGCTTGATCTGCCTTCACTCGCGGAAAAAGAGCAGGCACCTGTCGTGGCTTCTCAATCGGAAGCAGATAGTACGAAAGTCAACGAGCATTCGCCTGGTGTGGCTCCTCGATTGGAAGCAGACAGTACGAGGGTCAACGAGCATTCGCCTGGTGTGGCTTCTCGATTGGAAGTAGACAGTACGAGGATCAATGAGCTACTGATTGCTGACGCAACTCAATTGGAAGTAAAATGGGCGGGATTTGGAAAAAGGATGAGGGAAACCGAGCATGCGCTTGCTGTGGCTCCTCTACCTAACGACAAACGTACGAGTATCATCGAGCAACTGCAACAGCAAACGGATAAGAACCTTTTGAGCCCAGACCAGTGGAACTCCCTGAAGAAGGGGAAGAAAACACAGGATTGGACAGCAGAACAGCTGATGCAGGATCTGGTAGAAGTGTATTGTGCTAAAGCTAATGGCTTAACCAAACTCGCGTCTGCTTTGCGAAAAGCTAAGGTGGCTGGTCGTAATGACGGAGAGATATTCACTGCTTTGGAGGCGGCGATGTTAGAGTCCTGGAAGAACCGCGGCATCACGTTCGACCGTTCTATCGACCTTCTGGAGCTCCCCAAGCTGGCGGAAGAAAAAGACATGACGGTCAACAAGTTGCGACTGCTTTATCGATACAAATTTGTGTCCCTCGGCAGTCAACCTGGCCGAGGGCAGAATGTATATCGGCACTTGCTTAAAAAGCTCAACAGCAAAGACGACGAAAAATATCTACGGACGATAGCGCAAGCGGGGGAGGAGTCTACCATTGCGAAAGGGATGCTGATGTATTATGCAATCTCTAAAAGACGCATGTCCTCCGCTACAATGATCGAACGCATGCGCGCTGCGCAAATAAGTAAAATCATGATTCGGTGTCTGCCAAGTAAAGCACAATGGGTTGCACAAGCGCAAAAAAGAACGACCGCAAGGTTCGATGGACTAACATTGCGACTGCGCTGGACACGGCGCTGGAAGAAGACCCGACTAAAGTTGTTAACAAGGCTCTGGTAGAGTCAAAGTCGTCCAGCAACCCGAGCGCGAACAATTCAAAGAGGAAGGAAGGCACTTTTTCGACTTACGAGGCTGCACTAGCGTTACCAAAGGAGGACCCGAAACGCCAAAAGACCGCGGGACCTTCCATTCGACGTTAGGTGGAGCAAGACAGTGCGCTTTTGGATCGGCTTTGATGAAGGAAGGGCTAGCGACAGCAATCGGGTACTGGATGGAGCAAGGTGGTAGAGGTGTTGGTGAGCTTGCGACAAGCCTAGAATAACTTTGCTGGCCTTGATCTACCAAGACAAGTCAGAAAAGGTGAAATACAACCACGTTAATCCTATGATTTCAGGCTCGAAGCCAGGATGCTCACACTTGTCAACGACGCGTTAGGTAAAGAACAAGGTCGAACCAGAACGTGACCTGTGCTTTTCTTCAGGAGTGGATAAATTCCGACACCGCTTCTCGTTTGGATTCGTTACTGCTACACTCGGATGCAGGCGTGTCTTCCTCCACCAACGGGCGGATTTAAAGTACTGGTCGAATCGGCACCAACGTTGAACGTACTGCTCTTCGATACTCGACAACTGATGGCACTGTTTTCCAGTGCACGACGTTGTGCGATGGAGTGCATTTGTTATGGCATGGAGACCTGACAGCAGGCAAGCTAGATTGACACTTGATTTGGTGCTCTGAACACATACAGAGCTATGTTCGTGTCGTGCTTGTTCACCTTCCTGCGACAAGTATAATCCAGCAACCCTGCAAGATATACCATTACTTGACCAGCTGGTACCCATGTCCTCGTTGCTTTACTTGATCGACAAGGCGAATGTGGTTCATGCCCGCTTCAAGCACGACGGGTCTTCATTGTACTCGAATTGAAACCGAACCTCTTGGTTTGTTTTCTTTCTTGACACTGGCACCAAGTTTCAATCAATCTTGTCACACGATGCATCGTTTGTACTCCAGTGAGGGCTGCGATCGCCAAAACCACGGAGTCTTCCACGTCACTGCCAGGCGCAACGGCAAGAGCACTCTGTGGGTCCAACTCAAACGCGAGAATCGTCACGCCCTCATTCTCCACGTGCAATCCACACTTCTTGATCTCAACCTTCCCATCGTGAACTTCGGCAATCACATCGCATATTTGCTTCAATAAATTATGGTTCGGCAAACGTCGCTCGCCGCCAGTCTCACCATTGCAATGCTCCATTGCAGCCTCCACCTTCAGACAAAACGTGGTCGTAACCACTGTTTCGCCGATGCCAACCATGAAGTGATCAATACCCGGCACAAAAAAGCTTGCACCAGCTGCAGCTCGAATCATGCCTAGGTTGCGCGGCGACCGCACAACATCCATAGCTTTCTGAGCAAGGCTCGTTTCGTACATCATTTGCCCCCACTGAACGACTGCATCGGCTGTTGGTCGCGCACTCGGGTCGTGACTTAACAACTTGCTGAGCATGTCTAGGATTTCAGGACATCTCTTTGTCGCGCGGAGATCAGCAGGGAACTTACTGTCTCGGGCATCACGGAGAGTAATGTATCGCTCCATTGTCGTGCCAAAGCGGTCGTGACACAGCTCAAAAAGGATCATTCCCAACGAGTACATGTCCGTCTTGACGTTGTACTTCTTCCCTGCGACTTGTTCCGGGCTTGCATAAAGATACGTGCCAACAGCCGCGGTCACCTCAGTACTCTCCGACATGTTCGACCACACCGACATAGATAGAGGAGTGTCCCGCACACCATTGGAAAGACATCCTTGTTGGGGATCATCAAGACTTGTCGAGGCATTCAGGCTGCTTGCATTCGCATCGTAGCGCGATAAGCCAAAATCCCCCAACTTAATCTCGTCTCTCTCCACGTCGGCAACAAAGATATTCGCTGGCTTCAGATCGCGATGAATCAGTCCACACGAATGTACGTGCGCAAGTGCACTTGCTATCTGCACAAAGATCTTCAACATTCTCGACAACTCCATCGGGCGGCTTGGAACAGCCAGATAGTCCGCCAAGTTGCGGCCAGCACAGTACTGCATCTGAATGTACAGCCAGTGATCACATTTTTCTACCGCGTTGCACGAAGAGTCGTCTTCGCTACCATGAGCAGCCGGTGCGCAAGACGAAGACACACGGGGAGGCAGGTGGCTTGTAACGGGGCACCCTGAAGCTTGTACTGGTGACAGTACAAGCTACTTATTCTGATGACAGAATAAGGCGGTGCCTCGTAACTTCACGTACACTCGTACGTGCAGAGGAAGACGGTAAGAAGAAGCGAGTACTTGGTTAAAGTAAAAAGTAGAACAGTATTTAGTATAGTTAATGTCTGCAATAAATCACTATTTATCTTCATCTAACTATGTCTAAATACAAATGTGTAAATCAGTTATCTGCTCACCACTCATTGCGTGCGTCTGTCGTGGCGCGTCTTCGTTGGTTGATATAATGGCCTATATCAATCAATTAGGAATTACTCGTAAGTGCTACAGAATATTTGTCCTTATGACAATATTCTGAGAATATAACTCTTATAGTTATATTCTATTAACAATTTCTTATAAATTGTTATGTAACGATTCACCCCGTTACATCACCCCCCCTTAACCATCAGTCACTTAAGTGACTGATTGACTAAATGGATACTCGTCCCAAATCATTTGGGACAGGGTTTGCACTTGTTGGTCCGCGTCCACTTTCCAACATTTCATCGCATGGTAAACAAGCCCATGCGATGCGCGAGCAAGGCCGCCGAGAGCGCGTCTGCACGTCTCTGTGCGGACGCCGAAGTGGAAACCACAGCAACTGATGTCTCATCGGCTGCTGAAGCGACCCAGCCTGTGTCACCTGGTGATGCAGGTGCTGGTCATGAAGACACTCGTGTCTTCACAGAGTACGAGCTCGGTGTCTCGTACTCTCCTGATACGGATGACGGATCCGTATCGACGGCGATCGAATCCAAGCCGCCTGCCAAGCGTGGCATGGACGATTCTTTGCATCGCAGCATCTTTGGTTCATCTGATGCATCAGATGAACCATGCCGAAGCGAAGGCGCTCGAGGTCGCGAGACTCGGGCGCTAATAGTGGTGTCGGTTCTCCTATGGACCCACTTCACAGCGAGGTGCCAGTACTTCTGTCGGCACGTCGCAGGAAGAGCGGGATCGCAATGTCTTGCGTCTCGCTCCTGAGAAGAAGGCATGGATGCCTCCTTAATCTGTCATGGATCACTTGTCGGCGACGACGAGTGATCGTTATCGAACACGGTTGTTCGATTCGTCAAGGGTCCATCACCTTGACCCCAGCGCGAAAAACTATCGCGCTGAGAATGAATTCTTCATCGATGCTTTCTTGAGACATCGATGGTACAGTGGGAATCACAAGCGTGATGGTCCCTCACTACTTCAGGCGTGGAACGCCTACATCCATAACCTTGAGGATGTAGGTCGTGACGCTTGGAACGACAAACTTATCAAAGCTCGTGATAAGTTTGAAAAGCGAACCCCGACAGGTGCACGCTACAAGCTGCATCGTCTGTCAAGGGAGAAGGGATTACCCTGCCTCTCTTGGGGAGACTCGTGCCCATGTTGTGTGAACAACTCTGCACGAGCACCTAAGAAGGCTTACCTCCCTAATAGCCCGTGGTGGCGCGTACGTGTCTCTACTGAGATGTACGAAGGGATTGACAACCTGAAATCCATTTACGACCGTGCCGGGAAGACTTTCTCCGGCGGTCCTACTGCGGCACAGGATGTGCCGCGTCGTACTGCTCAACCAGACCCAGTACGTCGATCATTAGTTGGGAGCGGGGCTCCCAAGAATCCCAGGACGGGGGATAGCCGCGCCACCGGACGAGATAACTCGTCCGACGTCCGTTCACGTCGCGGTGGTTCAACAGCTGCTCAACTAGATAGCGCTGGCCACCGCGAGAGTCCTCTAATGGAGGTGGAGGAGGAGGAAAGACGCTCTCCACACGATCATGTGGATCGGTGTGTTCCCGAGAGCTTCTTTGATCGCGTAACGCAAGGGTTACGCGACGATCTCGAACATGAGCGGAATAGGCGTCTCCAAATGGCGGACACTGCCTCGAAGCATCGAGCTGAGTTTGCCTTTGCTCAGCTTGAGAACGAGAGATCTCTGACATCTCTTCGTGAAGAGCTAAGGGTAGCTCGTGGGATTGCTGATCGGTCTCGGGATGAGATAGCTGCTCTTCAGACCCTTGTTGATGCCCATCATCGGGAGCACAAGGCTCTCTGCGAGATGCTTGAGCGCAAGGGCGTTCTTCATCGGAAGAAGCAGCGTACTGATAGTACGGCTTAAGCCGACCAAACGTAAAACTGGGATGCGTTCGCATATTACGTGGCAACTCGAACGTGTATGCGTTGCCTAGGTGGTGCAATACACGAAATGGGCCGATGTACTTGGGTAGTAGTTTACTGCTACCCAAGTTAGTCACTACATGCTTTGGTAGATTAACCGTATACAGTAGGACTAAGTCACCTTTATTAAATAAAAGAGTGTTTGCCCTTCCATTCTTGTCAGCTTTTTGCTTTTGCTTATCCACCGCTTCGGCGATGGAGTCTTGCACAAAACGGACTACCGTTTCAAGAGCCAGTATGAACTCATCTGATGACTCGTTAGCTTCAGTGCGCTGTGAGCGCACTGCAGCAACATCAATCTTTTTTTCAGTGAGGGCTTCCGCACTCTCACTGGCATCATCTTCTTCGATATCGATGTTATCGATATCGGCATCAAACGCAATGACTTCTTCGTCAGAGCGTGATGAGCGTGAACCAATTCGGTTTTTGCTCGCGCGAGTCCCTCCCCCCCTTAAACCAGAGTTACACTCTAGTAAGGTGGGTACACGCGGATGGCGCAAGCCATTCACGTAAAACGGTGTATGTGTCGTGGACGCATGCACCGAGTTGTTAATGGCAAACTCTACCATTGGAAAAACTCACTCCAACTCTTAATAGGAGTGTATGTATCCTCGAAGTATCTCTTCAAGGACACGATTGGCACGTTCCGTCTGACCATCTGACTCTGGATGATCAGATGTTGACATCTTCAAGCGCATTCCGAGTGATTTGAACACGGAACGCCAGAAATCAGCAGTGAATCGTGGATCTCTGTCTGATACGAGTTCACGGGGCAACCCATGAAGTCGGAAGATGGTGTCAATAAAGACACAAGCACAGCCACTTGCCGTGATTGTCTCTGGTACAGCCACAAGGTGTACCATTTTGCTGAATCTGTCAACAAATACGAGAATACCCGTATTCCCGCGTGCGTCTTTGGGTAACCCGAAGACGAAATCCATTGAGATGGATTCCCAGCACTCAGCCGGAACCGGTAGATGCTGTAAAGGTGCACGCAGTGAAGGACTTGACTTCACTCGTTGGCAGACTTCGCATGCGCGAACATACTTTCGCACAAACTGATACTGGCGGGGCCAGTAAAAGTCTCGACCCACCGTGAGATATGTTTTTTCTCGGCCACGATGTCCTCCTATAATAGCATCGTGATACTTGAACATGATCCGCAAACGCAGATCAGTATCATCTGGAATGACAACACGTGGTGTGTCACCAGAAACGGCTGTATAATACAGTAAACCGTTACGAGTAGTGTATCGATCTGATGCAGATCGATACGCAGACGACAATCGTTTCAACGATTCTCGAGATGGTTGTGAGAGATGTGTCAACAACTTCACAATCTCACCATCTTGGGAGTATGCCCGCCTCAGATCATCATACAACGTTGTAGATGGGACTGAGGACGTCATAACCGCTACAGTGACTGTCTCACTGTTGGGTTTCACGACTGTTTCAAAGTCGGGACGACGTGAGAGTGCATCAGCGACGACATTAAGTCGTCCTGGTTTGTACTCGACCGTAAAGTCGTATTCCGCAAAGAATGACAACCACCGCGCCATTCGTTGTGGAAGGTGCGGGCTGTTCACTGCCGTGCGTAATGACGCATGGTCAGTGTCAACAATGAAGGGTCTATCTCCTAATAGATAGACTCTCAACTTCGCGAGTGCATACTTCATGGCAAGGAGTTCCTTGTCATGCACTGGATAGTTCCGCTCAGCTGGTTGCAGCTGACGCGACTGATAGCAGACGACGCGTTCAACGCCTTCTAGGTCGTACTGCATTAATGCACAGCCGATTGCGAAATCGCTGGCATCACAGACCACATGAAATGGCCTGTCCTGATCGGCTATTGCTAGGACTGGGGATTGTATCAAGCTCTGCTTGATACCCTCAAAGGAGCGTTGACATTCAGCGTTCCATAACCACCTCTCGTTCTTTTTCAACAAACGAGAGAGGTGCACAGTCATCTCGGCGTAATTGCGTGAATACTTATGCAAATACGCCGCTAGCCCAAGGAATTTTCGAAGACCTTTGACATCAACCGGCACAGGCCAGTCGGAGATCGCCTTGATCTTTTCGGGATCAGGACGTACACCGTTCTTACCAACGATGCACCCAAGAAGTGGTATTTCGCTTGCGGCAAATATACACTTCTTGAGGTTTGCATACAATTGATGCTTTCGCATGATTGTAAGAACCTGTCGGACGTGGTACCTGTGAACCTCAACGTCCGACTTTCCATCCATAGCTCGACTATGGATGAATACGTCATCGAAATAACTCGGCGCGAACTCGCGTACTGGTCTCAACAGATGTGATACACATCTGTTGAACGTGGCAGGGGCATTACTAAGTCCTTGTGGCATTACTAGCCATTCCCAGAGCATGCCGCTAGGCGTGCTAACTGCGGTATAGGGTATATCCCGTTCTCGCATAAGGATTTGATAGAAGCCATCCATCAAATCCATGGACGAAAAGATGGTACTCTTTGACATACCATCAATGATTCCGTCCTTCCTCGGTATCGGTTTCTGAGCCGATACCGTTGCAGCGTTCAATTTGTTGAGCGCGTGCACTATCCGCCACCCTCCTGTTGCTTTTCGCACACAGAAGGTCGGAGAGCTATGTGGGGAAGTTGATTCCCTCACATGGCCCGCAGCTAAACGATCGGCAAAGAACTTGTCGATCGCAAGTACTTGTTCACGAGGCAATGGCCACTGCTTCATGACACAGTACTTCGAGCCTGGTTTAAGCTCGACCTCGTGTCGAACACCTTTATCCTTCGGTAATTCGCACGGAACAGTTTCAGGGAATACATCCTTGGATTCAACCAAATCTTCATAGAGAGAATTTTTCTTGAGCGATTCCCATGATTGGGAGTCATATCGCTCAATTCGTGTCTTTTCATCTAGGACACTCTCGTCCATCGATGAACTACTGAGAACTCTCTCGTTCTCAGTGAACACTGTTGCTGACCTTATGTCGGTTACACACTCGTCGTCAGCGACGAGTATGCAGATCTGCTTGACTTTGCCACTACGCAGATCACGCAAGAACCTTTTATGTTCGAGCGTTGGCAACTAAGTGATCTCCGAAGTTAACTTCGGAGGCGCAATCAGATCAAGTGTATAAGCGCCTACACTTGATACGTTATTGACTAGGACATTTAATGTATCTGTCATTTCCTGGGGACTTTTTTCCTCAGGCTTCGAAGGACTTATTCCTTCGTCTTCCCGGGGACTTATTCCCGCGGGTTTCGGGGAACTTATTTCCGCCGTATTTGTAATCTTGGGACTTATTCCCTTTACTTCCTCTAGCTGGGGTTGCACAACCACAGCGAGATCCTCTACGAAAGACTCTCCAGTCGATCTAGGATTATCGTTTCGCTTAACCTGAGCGATCGATTGTTTCTCTTCTAGATGTTCCCCGCTAGGGATACATCTTTGTCCCAGTCCACTCGACTTATTCGAGTGGTGGACCTTCGGCGCAGCCTGTGTTTCCTCACAGCCGCCAAAACTTTGCTCCGAAGTGTAACCGTTTGGTACACTAAGGTTTTGTGCAGTCGTACTAACGACCGTACCACAAGTGAGGCCATCGCACTCACTCGTAGTACATCCACACGCTTGTGGACGCTCCAAAACGTTCATCAGATGGCCATCTGATGAACAAGCGGCAGGCATCGTTGCTGTTCGATGTTGCCAGTTTACTCGTGGTTCGTACCTTCTGAGCCACGGTATTCCAAGGATGACATCAAATTTGTCATCCAAATCCAAATCGATAAAGTCATCGTCATATTGGGTATCTACTAGCGTATAGTGGATCTTCACTATACGCTTCATGTCGGTTACGGATGCGCCTGTCGCAAGACGTACCGTCATCCTCGTAGGGTGTGTGTCACATTCACTGAACTTAAAGTGACCATCTTCTAGCTGTTGGCGTCGCACAAAATTGTTGGACGCCCCACAATCGACTAGAGCTCGAAGGGACAACTTATTCGTCACTTCGAGTTTCAAGGTAATGAGTGAGACCTCATTACCTAGAGCAGCAACGCGCAACGTCTGTGTGTTGGGAGCAACCTTCATCAAGAGGCCTACAAATTCTCTTGACGTTGCTGGATCAGTAGGGTGCTCCGCACCTACTGATCCTGTCCGTTTTTTGACGGTCCATCCCGTTGTTGCGTCTTTGCACCAACAGCGGACCCGCGTCCCTGCCCCTTTCTCATGGGTGGACGGTCACTACGCCCAGTGTTGCGAGACACTGGACGAGGGGCACTACACTCGTAAGCGTAGTGTCCTGTCTTTTGACATCTGTTGCATCTCTGCAACTTCTTGTAGCCTGTAGAGCGAGCCTTCTCGCTCTCTACATAGCAGAGTTCCATCGGCTCTGGACCTCCGTTGTCATATCGTCTCGGTTGACGATATGATGTCGAGCTGGCGCGAGCCTGTCTCAGACTGAAGTCTTCCTGCTCCGCAATGGAAATGGCTTGTTCTAGTGAATCTAGTTCAAGCCGGAACAGGTGAGTCTTGACGGGACCATCCGCAAGACCCTGCATGAACACCAAAACCAACGTGTGTTCATCCACCGGATTGGAACTTATACAACTCGTGAGATGTCGTATATGTTGAGCGTAAGCGTGCACATCACGCTTACCCTGCTTGAGCTTCAAGAGTTCGGTTCGAGCCCTGAACTCAGCTCTAGGCGGTTCAAACGTTTGTCTGAGCCGCGACTTGAAGACTTCCAACGACCCAAACGCATATGGGTCGTGCAACTTGAGCCCCAGTGCCCAAGTCTTGGCACGTCCTGCCAGATTTGACTGGGCAAATGCAACTTGCATATCCCCGTCGTCGATGCGACGCGCCCTTATGGCGTCATCCAATTCGACGAACCATCTCAAGAGGGAGTCTTCTTCGACCCCCCTATACTTGGAGATGTCAATCTTCAAGGTTTCGGGTCGACGCGAGTGCATCGACCCACCAGCAGGGGCCTGCTGCTGTCTCAACAGTTCAAACTGTTGAGCACCCTGTTCTCTCAACAACTCTGCTTGTTGAGAACCTTGTTGGTGAAGCAAGGCTACTTTCTCGCGTTCAGCGTCAAGTTCATTTTGAATGAACTTGGCGATAGTAGCATGTTGGGCATCTTTATTGAGAGCCTCTAGCATGACGCTAACAGCATGGATGCCCATGGCTGAACCCATTCGTTCAACCGCATCCCATTCGACATCGCTCAAATGGGAGTAGCCGTCACGCGTAGCGTGAAAGCTTTGGTCATCTTCATCATCCAACATATTCATGTTGGATGTGAACGCGGTCCTTGGACGTACTACGAAGTGCTACCAGGTGTAACGGGGCACCCTCAAGCTTGTACTGTCACCAGTACAAGCTACTTATTCTGATGACAGAATAAGGCGGTGCCTCGTAACTTCACGTACACTCGTACGTGCAGAGGAAGACGGTAAGAAGAAGCGAGTACTTGGTTAAAGTAAAAAGTAGAACAGTATTTAGTATAGTTAATGTTTGCAATAAATCACTATTTATCTTCATCTAACTATGTCTAAATACAAATGTGTAAATCAGTTATCTGCTCACAACTCATTGTGTGCGTCTGTCGTGGCGCGTCTTCGTTGGTTGATATAATGGCCTATATCAATCAATTAGGAACTACTCGTAAGTGCTACAGAATATTTGTCCTTATGACAAAATTCTGAGAATATAACTCTTATAGTTATATTCTATTAACAATTTCTTACAAATGGGTATGTAACGATTCACCCCGTTACATGGCTCATGCGTGGCTTGTTTTGCTCGACCGGATCTTCTTCTTTCCAGCCATCCTCACCTTCCATCCTAGACGTCTCACGTTCCCAGACAAACCCACCATCATAGGCATTGTCACTGATCACGCCTTCATTGCTGTAGAAGCTCTCGAGGTCGCGTTGGTCGCCTGGAAACTCAATCTCTGAGATCGGTGCGAGAAGATTATTTGTTGAGTAATTTGCCGCGGCTGCGAGTCCACCGACTGAGCTCGTGTCGGAGGCAACTGACGATGCTACCGACGTTCCATTTGTGCTCTCCTCAACCTTTTCCATCCATGCCTGATAGTACCGAACGATGTTAGCTTGGTCCAGCAGCGCCAGAATTTTCACCTCACGCAAAAACTTCTGCAAAGTCTTCGACGTCTGGTTCATCAAGTTAAGACCAACCCGTTTGATCGCATACCTTCGTCCATCCAAGCGATTCTCGGCGAGTGTAACTTGACCGAAGCCACCTTTGCCAATTGCTGACAGCTCTTCAAACTCGTTCACGAAACGACTTTGGCAGACAAACGGGAAAGAACTTCTGCCTCATTCGAGGAAGCCTCGGATTCACACGAGGATGATTGCGATGACCCTCGAACACTGGACAGGTCCACGCTTAGCTTTTCATCCATACCAGTTTGATTGCCTTGCACACATCGCGTACCACCACCTCCACTCGACTGATGACTGTTGTCACTGTCGCTGTTGCTGCAATAGCTTCCCGTTTTTAATTCTCCGAATGAGCTTATCGACTTTGGGCCGCTCATGACTCTTGAGTCGGTACCTACCTAAAACGCGTCATTCTTTGAATGCATTGGCTTGGAGCAGCCGTTCCAAAGCATAATAACACGTGATCGGTGGTGAAGGGCACATGTATAGAGATTGATTGTGTTGATATTTCGACTTGAACGCTCAGCAGCACGCACGGAGCATTAGTGTAACGGGGTAGCCCGTTGCATGATATTGACACCAAACGGTGTCAATAGGGATATTGTCTAGCATGACAATATTCTACCAATATTATCCAAGATAGATTAAAGGGAAGGAATATTATCCCCTTTAAATAATATTCATGCGCTGCTCCAAGATTGGTTGATACAAGACATATCACCCATAGATTGCCACCAATCGCTGCTAGACGCGCGCGATGAGTGGTGAGCAGGTTGTCGTCATACGACGGCGTAGTTTAATATTTTTTAGATAAAGATTAAAGTTTTATTGATAGCTCAACTATATATAATACAGTTCCCTTTTTACATTTACTTGAACGAGTCGTTCAAGTAGATTAGCTTCCTCTGCACGTACGAGTGTACGTGAAGTTTCGCGGCACTTCAAGCAAAGGGTGCCCCGTTGAAATATTCCTGTTGACACCGTTTGGTGTCAATATCATGTAACGGGCTACCCCATTACATCACCCCCCCCTTATCATTAATCAACCGTTGATTGAATCAGAATTGAAAGGGACAGGGTGACCATGATTGGATCACTCTGGTAAAGGGGGAACTAGTTGGTCGAATCCCCTTCATTTGCCAATCCAACGCATGGTTTCGTGTATCAAGCGAGTTACGACTGCAGCAGCAAGATAGGCGGCTGCACGCATGCGTGCGGCCGGGGAAAGCGCCTCTCACACCTCAGCAACAGGTGATTCGTCGCCTGTTGTCGTCAATCGTCCACTTGGTGAGTCACCACGAGCGACAGGTACATCCGCTGCGTCTGCAGCTGCTACTTCGAGTCTCAATCATGACGAGTGTGAAATAGAGCTCATCTATTCTGGCGAGTCGGATGATGCATCCGACTCGAAGGCGACACCACACGTCTCCAGATCACCCGGGGCGGACACTGCAAGAGCCAGGTTGTCTAGCTCTGGAAAGCGTGATGTCATTATGCTCGAGATCTTCTGATCGAGTGATTATTCTGATGGGTCTCCGCCTCACACAAGTCCATACAAGGATAGGACGCGCGGGGATGGTGGTGATGCATCTATGCGTTACCACGAGCGAAGTAATTCGAGGTATCGAGCTGCCACTGGTGTCAGTGCTCATGATGACACCAATCAAGAGGCCAGGGACCGAAATGTCCTGCGCCACGCTCCCAAGAGGATTCTCCGTATATTCCGTCATCCAGAGAGCTGGACCTGTTGGCCGGCATGACCACCAAAGGGGATCGAATCCCGTTGTTCGATTGCAGGAATATTTGCCCACCTGATTCCAGCACGATAACTATCCGTGCTGATGAAGAGTTCTTCGCCGATGCGTTCTTCGAAAATCGGTGGTACAATGGCAACCGTAGTCGTGAAGTTAAGGCCCTGGTGCAGGGATTAAATGCTTTCATCCACAACATCGAGTGCATTGGCCGTGAGGCCTGGCTCGCCAAACTTGGTGTAGCTCGCATCAGATTTGAGATACGCAACCCAGTCGGGGCGCGATACAAGTTGCACCGGCTTTCAAGAAAGGCAGGATTACCCTGTCTCTCAAGGGGTGATTCGTGTCCAGGTTGCCTGGACAACTCGAACCGGGCCCCTATGGAGGCGTACCTCCCTAATGTTCCCTACTGGAGGGCGCGCATCTCTTCTGAGATGGCCGGAGGGATTGACACTTTGCAATTTCTGTACTCGCGTTTGGAGAGGTCATTTTCCGACGGCCCTCTTCGAACGCAGCGAGAAGGTCTCGTCATATTGCGCAAGGAGACCCAGATCATCAACAATCATCTGGGCGCGCTGCTCCCAGCTGCCCCAGGCCGGTGGATAGCCGCGCCAGCAGACGAGGTAACTCGTCTGGACGCCTTTCACGTCACGGTGGTTCAAAATACCCTTCACCAGGAAGCGTTGACCACCGCCAGAATCCGCCAATGAATGTGGTGGAGGCAGGAACACCTGATCTAGCTCGAGGGTCGGATAAGCTCGATGTCCAAAAATTGAACCGCGTGACGGATCAGTTACACGAAGACTTGGCTCGTGATCGGGCCCGGCGTTATGAGCTTCATGGCATTGTAAAGGACAATTACAAATCCTTAGCGTACGATCGTTCAAACGATTGTGCCATGTTTGCGCTTGCGCTGCTTGAGAACAAACGTTCCATTCGTTCCCTTCGTGACGAGCTGACTGCAGCTCATCAGGACATCGCTCAGCTGCGTGAGTAGGTCGCTTCACTTTATTGAAAAGAATGGCTTGAAACGGGACCACTCGAAGGTGGTCTTGGCCCTTGATCGTGGAGGTGCTCTTCGCCTCTCGAAACTTCTCGTACTGATAGTACGTGCGGAGACGCCTAACGTAATACGTAGGGTGCGTACGCATCATACGAGGCAGTTCAATCGTTTATGTGTTGCCCTTGCGATGTAATACACGAAATAGAACGATGTACTTGGGCATTAGTTTACTGCTGCCCACGTTTTTCACTGGGTGTCTTGGTAGATTTACTGTTGACATTGAAACTAAGTCTCCGGCATTGAATGAAAGAGCGTTAGCTCTTTCATGTTTTTCTGCGTTTCTTTTCTGCTTACCTGTTGCATCTGCAAAAGAGTCTTGAACGAGGCGGACAACCGCTTCGTGAGTCAGTAGAAATCCCTCTGCTGACTCGTCCTTGTTAACAGCAGTGTGCTTCGTGTGCACTGCTAAAAGAGCGTTGTCTTCACCAGTGAGGGTGTCATCGATCTCACTTTGGCAATCATTGGCGATGCTGAATATGCCAGCATCGTCGTCATCATCATCATCGATATCGATTGCATCGACATCGGCATCCATCACGTCGACACCATTGTCGACGGGTGATAAGCAAGAACAAGATCGGTTTTAGTTTGAGAGACCCCCCCCTTAAACTATAGTAACAATCTAAGAAGGCGGGCAAACGTGGATGGCGTAGGCCATTTACGAAGAACGGTGTATGCGTTGTCGACGCTTGCACGGAGTTGTTGATGGCGAATTCCGCCATCGACAAGAACTCACTCCAACTCGCAAACGAGTGGACGTACCCTGTAAGTATGTCTTTGAAAAAGCGGTTAACACGTTCCATTTGCCCATTGTTTCAGGATGGTCAGAAGCCGACATTTATAAACGTGTTTCAAGTAAACGGAACACGTACTGCCAGAACTCTGCTGTGAAGTGGGTGTCCCTGTAAGACAAGAGTTCCCGGGGTAGCTCGTGAAGTCGGAAGATAGTATCGATGAAGACTCGAGCACATTCCTGGGCTGTGATTGACTCCGGTACAGCAACAAGATGTACCATCTTGCTGAACCGATCAACAAACACAAGAATACCAGTATCCTCGTGGACGTCTATGGGAAACCCAAAGACGAAGTCCATCGATACGGACTGCCAACACTCTGCCGAAATTGGTAGAGGTTGCAAGGGTGCGCGGGATGAAGGACTAGGCTTCACCTGTTGACAAACTTCTCAAGCGCGAATGTATTTGCGCACAGACGCATACTGACGTGGACAGTAGATGTCATGACTTACCGTAAGGTAAGCCTTTTCTTTAACGCGATGCACACTTGTCGGGGCATCGTGACACTCATGCATGATGCGCAATGGCAAATCATTATGAGCAGGAATGACGACACGAGGTGTGTAGCCGTTGACTGCTGTATAGTACAGCAGTCGATCACGAACAGAATACCGTTCGGTTGAAGAGCGGTATTGAGACGACAAACTTTTCAAAGCTTGACTGCATGGATTGGATACATAATCCATTAACTGCAAAAGAGACTCATCTTCTGTGTATGCTTTCCGAACGTCTTCGAGCAGACTTGACGACGGAACAATCACTGATAGTGTTGCACAGCGGGATCATCCTTCCTGTGGTGTTAAGCAGTCGGCTCGAAATCGGGCCGACGCGAAAGAGCATCAGCGACGACATCAAGTCGTCCTGGTTTACACTCGACGGAGAAGTTGTACTCCGCGAATAAAGACAGCCACCTCGCCATTCGTTGCGAGAGATGTGGACTGTTTACGGCCGTGCGTAACGACGCATGGTCGATATAAATGATGAAGGGCCTATCTCCTAAGATATACACCCGAAACTTAGCCAGCGCATATTTCATTGCAAGGAGTTCCTTGTCATGCACTGCTTAGTTACGCTCAGCTGCTTGCAGCTAACGCGATTGATAACAGACGACGCGCCCAACGTCGTCTGATTCATACTGCATTAACGCGCAGCCGACCACAAAATCGCTGGCGTCACAGACCACATGGAATGGCCTGTCCTAATATGCAATCGCCAACACAGGAATTGTATCAAGCTTTTCTTGATACCTTCGAAGGAGTGCTGACACTCATTACTCTATGACCACCTCTCGTTTTTCTTTAGCAGACAAGAGAGGTGTACGGTCATCTCGGCGTAGTTGCGCTAGTACTTGTGCAAGTACGCCGCTAAGCCAAGGAACTTTCGAAGTCACTTGACGTGGACTGGCACAGCTCATTCTCTGTTCGCCTGGATCTTTTGGATCAGGACGTACGCCGTTTTTACGTAAGATGCAGCCAAGAAGTGGCATTTCGCTCGCTGAGAATATGCACTTCTTGAGGTTAGCAAACAACTTATGCTCATGCATAAGTGTAAGAACCTTCCGGACGTGGATTCTATGAACATCCACGTCTTTCCTTCCATGGATTGAACGGCTATGGGCGAAGACATCATCAAAGTAACTCGGTGCTAAGTCTCGCACCGATCGCAACAGATTCGTAATACTTGTGTTGATCTTTGCAGGGAAGTTACTTAGCCCTTGTGGCATGACTAGCCACTCCCAGAGCATACCACTTGATGCGGTCTCTACTGTGTACGGGGTGTCCTGTCCACTCATGAGGATCTGATAAAACCCATCATCAGATCCATGAGCGAAATGATGACATTTTTTGCCATACCATCTATAATTTCGTCCTTCCTCGGTGTAGTCGTCTGAGCATGTACCGTTGTAGCAATCAATTTGTTGAGCGCATGTGCTATACACTACCCTCCTATTGCTTCTTGCACACACAAGACCATGGATATGTGTAGGGATGCTGATTCCCTCACATGGCCCGCCGCCAAGCGATCGTCAAAGAATTTGTCGATTATTTTGACCTGTTCACGAGTCAGTGGCCACTGCTTGGTGTTGTAGTACTTCGAACCGGGTTTCAGTTCGATCTCATGTCGAGTGCTTTTGTCCTTCGGCAACTCTCACGGCACAGATTCGGGAAAACATCTCTGATTCAATCAAATCCTTATGCAAAGGATTTTCTTCAAAGACTCTCAATATTGAGACGTGTATCGCTCAATCCGGACCTTCTCATCGTACATCGATGAGCTACTGAGAACCCGTTCGCTCAAAGTAAACACTTGTGCCGACCGAATATCGGCGACTTACCCTTCCTCTGTGACGAGTACGCAGATCTGCTTGATCTTGTCACTACGCAGATCTCGCAAGAATCTTTTAGATTCTAGCGTTGGCAACTTGATTACCTCTGAAGATTACTTCGGAGATGTAACCAGATCAAGTGTATAAGCGACTACACTTGATCCGTCATTCACCAAGACATTAACTGACTACGTGATTTCCTGGAAAACACATTCACAGGTGGTTGGGGAAACACACCCTCAACATAGCTCTCTCCGAAGTTATCACTCTCATGAACGCTGGAACTTTCTTCCAATACGTGTTCTGACTGTGGGAGCACTACCACAGTCACGGCCTCTTCGATCGACTCTCTTTCAGTCGATCGTGTTTGCTTTACGATCGACTCTCTGTTAGTCGATCTCGTTTCAACATGGTGTTCATCCTGAATAAGAATCATAGCTCTTCTTTGATGCACCCTGCTTGGTGTGCATCCGTATTCCAGTCCACTCGATCTCTTTGAGTGGTGAACCTTCGGCGCAGCCTGTGTCTCTATACAGGTGCAGGAAGCGAATTCCACAGTGTAGCGGCCTTCTCACTGTAATCTTTGCAGTCATGCTAACGACCGTACCACAAGTACACAAGTAGGCCATCGCAACCGTTCGTAGAACATCCACACGCTTGTAGAAACTCCAAGACGTTCATCAGATGGCCATATGATAAACAAACGGCAGGCATCTTCACGGATCGATGCTGCCAGCTGATCCATGGCTGGTATCTTTTAAGCCATGGCAGACCGAGGATGACATCAAACTTGCCATCCAAATCTAGTACGATGAAGTCATCGTCGTACAGCTTTCCTTCTAGCGTGTAGTGGATTCCAACTACAAGCTTATTCACTGTTACGAGTGCGCCTACTGCAAGGTACACCGTCATCCTCGTTGGAGGAATATCTCGCTCGGTAAAGCTAAGCCACCTATCGTCTAGCGACTGGCGTCGAATGACTGAAACTGAAAAACTGTTTGACGCCTTATCGTCAACCAAGGCGCGAAGTGGCATTCCACTTTTCACTTCGATATTCAAAGTGATGAGGGACACCTCATCACTAGGGGCAGTAACACACAGTGACTGTGTGTTGGGAGCAATCTTCGTCATGAGTCCTGCTAATTCTCTTGACGTTGCTGGATCAGCAGGGTTTTCCGCCCCTACCGACCCTGACCAATTTTGGCGGTCCGACTTGCTATTGCAATTAAGCGACATGGTCGGACCCGCGCCTTGAAACTTTTCTTGGCCAACGGTGCTCATCACGTCCTGTCTTTGGACGAGATGCGGTGCTTGGGACACTATACTCATGAGCGTAGTGTCCAATCTTCTGACAGCAATGGAATCTTGCCGTTCGCTTGTGACTCAGAGAGCGAGAGTTCTCGCTCTCGATGTAACAGAGGTCCATTGGTTCAGGACCTCCGGTACCTGTCGTCTCGTCGGACGATAGTTCAACAAGTTAGCCTGAGACCGTATCAGGCTGAAGTCTTCTTGTTTCGCATATGCTATCACCTTTTCCAGCCTATGGAAGTCCTCTTGGAACATGTCGGTCTTCACCGGTCCATCCACTAGGCCGTAGATGAACACGTTGATGAGCGTGTGCTCATCAACAGGGTTTTCCGTAACGCTACTCGCAAGGTAGCGCAGGTGCTGCGCGTAAGCGTGCACGTTACGCTTACCTTGCTTTAGCCTCACGAGTGCAGAGAGTGCTCGTACCTCGGCTCTCGGAGGCTCAAACGTCTCTTTAAGCCGAGAATTTAAGATCTCCAACGACCCGAACACGTTTGGGTCGTGAA